AGTTGTGTCCCGTCGATGGTGATGTTCAGTAGTGGGACTGGGTTTCTGTGATCACATGATTAAGTTGTGTCCCGTCGATGGTGATGTTCAGTAGTGGGACTGGGTTTCTGTGATCACATGATTAAGTTGTGTCCCGTCGATGGTGATGTTCAGTAGTGGGACTGGGTTTCTCTGATCACATGATTAAGTTGTGTCCCGTCGATGGTGATGTTCAGTCGTGGGACTGGGTTTCTCTGATCACACCATCCGTGCATGCATGTTTGGGCCTAACTTGAGCAGGAATAACCTTCAGATGAACACGATGGATAAACGATGTCAGCTGTCAACTCTGAGTTATCACAAATCTTGCACGCACAAGTGTTTTGATCTGATTATTAAATAACTTCCGCCGCCAAAAGCTTGTAAAACAATTTTTGAACTGCTCTGAGATAGGTACTGTCTGTACAGATGTTCTACGATGTCATTCAACAAACGTTTTTGAGTTTTAAAAAATCTCTTTCAAGGTAACAATATTTTTAAACGGTTCAAAATTCTCGAGTTGTCGGGCCAAAGGGAAACCCCCTAAATGTTCACTTTTTCCATCTGCAGAGTTGAAAGCTTCAGTTTTCTTTTGTTCTTTATGTTGAGAGTTCTACAAAATTAAAAATTGCTCTGGATTTTGTACTTTCTTAATATTTCTCCAGAGGCCAACATTCGAATACTTTTGTTTTCGTTTATCAGTCTTTCAATTCATCCAGGAGAGCAAAAGGAAATTTCAGTATTGTTTTCACTGCCTTCTTGCTCTCAGATAAGGTTTTCATTTTTAATTTTTATTTTCTTTTTCTCTGCACTGTTTTCATTGCAAACCTACACTTTAGTCTAGAAAAAAACCACACTTGAGGATGGGGCATCTGTTGTTTTGTCATCGGCACAGTTTGATTTCCTCTTTAGATTTGTGTCTCTCTTCGTTGTTCTCCATTCCATACATGCTGACCAATGGTCTCTTGGAATCATCCAAACGACAGGTTTCCTTTCCCTTTGTTCTGTGTCTTTGATGCAGTTCTGCTTTTCATATCGCATGTCGTGCAGTGTCGTCACTGGGTTCTTGTTTCGCCTCTCTCTGTCTCTCCTTTGTTAATTTTTTCAGCCGGAGTCGGCTTTGTCTCCGGTGAAAAAAAGCAAATATTAATTTTCAAAAGTCCCGTTTGAGAAATCAACTATAAATAGGGCCTGCCCTTCATACAATCAATCTAGATCGAGCATAAGTGGCATTGTGCTGAAGTCAACTAAGCTAAGCTATTTAATTTGTGACAAATTTCCTGCCAAAAAGATTCTTATTTCTTACTTCAGTCTACAACTACGTCTCTGCCACAACGCCAAATGCACTTCTAAATCTGCAAGTAAATAAAAGATCTAGATCTAGACCTACATTTTAAGAACTCTTTGGTTAAAATGGTTAAATGGTACATGTTTAACGCCCTTATGAGATTACTTTAGAGGTGGGACCTCAGAGTTTAACGGTTAACGGCCTCTCAGAAAGGACGGAGCCAAATGGGACATTCATGGGTTAAGTGTCTTTCTCAAGGACACAACGTTGGACCGAGCTGAGGCTCGAATCCCTAAACCCACAATATCACGATTACTTAGAACTCTTCGATACCATTTATCAAAATAGAAAGTTCTAGACTTTGGTGGAACAAAAGTAGGTTGCATTATTATTGTCATCGATGTAGGAAACATGGAAGGTTTTTGTCTTTCCTTTAACTCTGTTGTTCCCTCGCTATTGCTCTCCATTCCATCCTGTTACCTAAATTACAGAATCACAATACAGGAGTTTGTTGAAAAAGTACAGACACATCTTTCATATAATAAATATTCTGTTTTGCTTGTGCATAAATGACCCATTTTCAACCCGAACTTTGGTCAGTTTAGCTGTCCCCGTGGTTTTATGCACCCCGCATAATTTAGCAAAATTTGATCATTTTTTGCATAATTTCTGATTATTTTCCTTTATCATTCTTTCTTAAAATTAACAGAATCGCAAAATTTCACATTTTTGGGCTCATTTAGCATAATTTCATAATTTTTCTTGCATAAAACGACGAGGACAGGTTTAGCCACCCCTCCTACTAGCTATCTTGTATTCTCTCCTGTTACTCTCAATTCTGTCGTGTTACTCAAAGATAAAAATTACAATTCAGATGTTCTGTTGAAATAACACAAACGTGCCTTTAGTTTTAACTTCTTTCATTTACTCTATTAAGCGTGTACTACCTCACATTCTAACCCAAACTGTGGTCAGTTAAGATATTGAGCACCTTCCTTTCTCTCCTGTTACTTTTTATTCTCTCCTGTTACCAAAACCCGGGTAACAGGAGGGAAAGTAACAGGAGGGAATTATGTACATCATTACCCTGACAACCACTGACTGGGTAGAGCTCATGTTATGGATTGTCTTACCATTGAAATGTAACCTTGGCAGACTTCCTAACCAAAGGAGAGTGTATCGGATTTCTGTATGATAAGTCGTTATAGACCCCGGTAACAGGAGGGCCATTTATGCTCAAATACTCACCATGTTGGGTTGAACTTGACTCTGTGTCTTTCAATCACGCATTGCATAAGCTCCTCTGTCTCATGTTATATAAAGGAATATGAAGGGAGTCTTCACTCGCAAAATTTAAAAGAAATACTTTTATATCTAGGGACCATTCATCTGTGTGAAATGCTGGGTAACAGGAGAGAACTTTGAAATGGGTTAAGTAAAACATGGAGATAAAGAATTAATAAACAAATATAAGACAAGGACGGGCACCAAGATTTGTTTTGCTTCGGTACTGCTGTCAAATACTCTGTATAACTGTGAAATATTTAATCCCCGATGCCATGACAATTATCCCTAAGCATGTTTTAAAAAACATATACGTGTTGCGGAACTTGCCATTTTTTGCCTACTGAGCAAGATTTACAAAAGAGCT